CTCTCTCTCTCTCTCTCTCTCTCTCTCTCTCTCTCTCTCTCTCTCTCAACACATGTGCGCTCTCTACTGGATCATATTAGAAGTTCAAAATTAGTGGATTTCAAAATAAAAACACGACACCAGTCTGGATGTTCAAAAGCTCTTTTTTTTATTTACAGGAGTGATGCACGAAACATACACATACTTTAACGAAAAGAAAGAGAGGGTAAGGAGACAGGCAAAAACAACGTAGGCATCCTTAACTGCTAGGAATGAATGCCTGCTATTTCGACTGCATGTTGACACTGCTATTAAAGTTGCTATGTGAGGGACATTTATTAATGTGATTGGGCATACGTTTTTGTTGGTGAAAAAAAAAAAATCCATGAGTAGCATTCAGCCCCTCATTCACAGTAGGCCTAAAGGAATTTCAAATCCCACACATGGTGATTTTCATTGTGAAAAAACAACAACATGAAAAGGCAATCAGTCTTTTTTGTTGTTGTCATAAACAGGCATCATTAGGCAGTTGTTTAACATCAAGATCTGTAAGCCTGTTTATTCTGGCCTATTACATGTTTAGGCTACAGGTGCTGGACATTTACATGACACCAGAATGCACTTTGACAAAAAAGAAAGAAAGGCAAGGCCCACTAACTAGCCAATTCTGGAGATGTCAGCCGCATCTCATGGTCTTCCTCTGGTGTCTAATATCCTTATCTAACCTACAGTAAGTATGTAACTTTGACTTAATGGACTTCCTCGTCCATGTTGACATTGATACATTGACTGTTGGGCGATGTCCATCTGGTGAAGAAGGCTGTGAGATATGATTCAAAAGCTCAATAAAAGGCTAATGAAGACAGAGATGAATAACAAAATGATGAAACATTGATGTGACCTAAACATACCGATTTGTTTTTGTGCTTTTTTTCAGCATTTACACAGTAAAGGAAGCCAACGACAACCAGGGAAAGGCAAGCAAAAAAAAGGGAAAGAAAAAAGTCAAAGAAAGTAGGGAAATCACAGCAAAACAACATAAACATGAAGCAGCCGGCCACCAACACTGGTGATGGATTTGAAACATCAAAAGCCTTATTATGTGACACATGTCATGTAAAGGGAAAGCTAAGGTCGGTGGGGGTTTAAAGCAGCATCAAAAGTGTAAGAAAGTAGCTCTCTCTTTTATCTATCATGTGTGGACACTGTACTTCTCTTAGAAGGAAACACTGAGGTTTGGCATGACATGAAGGAAAAACAAGTACTCATTATGCCAGAAGATAGATTTTCAAATACACATCCCTCTGTCTTTCAAAACTAACAAGGGGACTATACGTTTTAACATTAAGCAGGGTTAACTGCTGTTGCATTGTTATGTTATAATGTGCATTTGTAGATTTCTTTGAAAGTTATACAATCATGGGAAATATGCTTTGACTATCTGTGAAACTGCTCGTTTGTAACTAAATAATTGCTTTGTGTAACAATTCAACAGTGAATATTATGTTTAGTACAAACATTACCAAAACCCCCTGGATAAGTCAAAAGTGAGACTTGAAGTAGCAATGCAATATCACATTATTACACTTCTACTGAGGCCCAGTATGACCCCAAAGTCATGACAACCCTGCCAACATTGCCAACCCTGAGGATTCACGTAAACACAAAATAAGCAACACAATGTCAGACACAAACAGGGCCACATAATTTAAGCCCTTCTCAAATTTACAAATAATTTACTGCAAGAAATATAAACAATATCTTTTGTACACAATGTTAATAATACATGTTTATACTTTTAGAGAACTATTTAGTTGTAAAGGACTCCCAATGTCCACAGAGAATGAGCTTCAAGGTTAAAAACTGAGTGTTAATGCATTGGTCTGCATTTAAATGAAGAATTTTTTCGTTAAAGGGGAACTCCAGCAATTTTACTCGACAAACTATGTTCAAAGTCAGATAAATTGCCTCAAGTGATGTCCCTTGAGTCATCTTGTCAGTTGATTCTTAAAACTACAAGTTTTAAAAATGAAAATCTCGGGGGTTTGCAGTTAAAAGAAGTGAGCTTACCAAACCTCTGTAGCCCTCTCCTCATCTCTCCTTGACTCTGGTGGCCCCAAGCTACATTAGTTTATAGCATAACACATTTGAATATCTGATTGAACTGTTGGTGGCCCAGATGCATTGTGGGTACGGTACGCTTGGTTTTGACAAGGAAGAATGACAAACAAAACTGTTGTAATAAATGTAAATATGAAATTGAATCAGATTCATGATGTGAAAGGTACTGGTATTGACGTGTTTTAGGAAGCGGGTAATATAAAGACATTAATAAACATGAGGAAAGGTGAGAACAAATTAATTCTTCCAAATGTAACATTAAAAAAAAAAAAAAAAGGCAGCCTGTATAATTTTTTGAAGAAGAGAACCTAAATGCTACAAGCTACAGATGCAAAAACACACAGCAGCCAGCACTGTGAAAATTCCCTATCATCTAATGTTACACAATATTAACTGACGTTCAGCAGCTGTCAATGACTTCACCTGACGCTCAACATGTAGCATCCAGGTTTCATTCACTTACAAAGGCTATTTAATATCACAAAAATATGAGAGTTTTCCAACTGTCATTAGTATTGTGAAGAGGATTTAAAACCAGATATCAGGTAAACTATTACAAGTCAGATGGCTTGAATGTAAAATGCCCCTGTCAGGACTAGATCTGTATGTCACAGTAACAAACTGTCCAACACAATGTTGTTTACTGTCTTGATACGGCAGTTTCAGCATTATAATTTGCATATAGCCACAACAATATA